AACCTTCCCTTTTTCTAAAATTCAAAGCAGGTTTGGTATAATATTTGCTGTTGGTATCTGGAATATAGTTGCTTAGATATTCCTTGTTAAGAAAACTTCTTTCTAATTCTAATTAGTTTTGCTTTACCCATGTTTTCTATACCAGAAAAGACTAAAATTTTTAGGCTTCGTTTTCATTAATTTATAAATGTAACATAGAGCATTAACAGATTTTGTAAAACGGATCCAATGTATTTCTAGAATAAAATCTAGTCTGTCACAGTGTATTATGCTTTAATACACTACTGAATTTGATTTGTAAAATTAAAATTTTTTGTGTGAGAACAGTCTGTAATTTTATTTTATTTTATTTTTATTATTTTTTTTGAGACCGAGTTTTGGTCTTGTCCAGGCTGGAGGGCAGTGGCGCAATCTCGGCTCACCGCAACCTCCGCCTCCCGGGTTCAAGTGATTCTCCTGCCTCAGCCTTCCTGAGTAGCTGGGATTACAGGCATGCACCACCAAACCCAGCTAATTCTGTATTTTTGGTAGAGACAGCATTCCTCCATGTTGGTTAGGCTGGTCTCAAACTCCCAACCTCAGTGATCCTCCCACCTCAGCCTCCCAAAGTGCTGGGATTATAGGCATGGGCCACCGCGCCCAGCTGTAATTTTATTTTTTATGCACTTTACGCAGCTAGGTTATTAATAAAAGGCAAGGAAAGATGACAAGGGTAATAATCTATACACTATAGAAAGGAGAATAAAGTTATGACTATGTCTATTAATAGTGCAACTGTTACAATTATCAAAAATAAAGTTATGACATAAGTGAAATCTGCCATGATGACTCTAATAAATTTATGTTTAAAATCTGTAAAGTTTTCGTATTAAAGGTTTTGAAAATAATTTATTTAGGAAAACTGGCACACATTTGCTTGTTTTATTACCTATAAACAACCAGGAGAATAAAAACTAACACTCAAACTTTTTTAAAAGCTTAATATATTTTAATAATTAAGTTAGTTATATTTACTTGTCATATGCCTTAAAAGAGCTTTAACTGGCTGATTAATCTATTCAAAGGCCCAAAACTATAAGGCCTGCCTGCATTATTTATTTCCCTACAAATGTGGAAATCTTATCAAAACGAAGGTATACTCATGTTGCTGAGCATATAAAACACCATCCCTGTCACAGGAAAATAAAGGAAGACATTGAGTCTGTTTTGTTATTAATGAAAAAGAGGGATGTGCTAGAGACAACACAGTGAGTCAGTGGCAACCCCGGTGGCAACCCCAAAACTGGAACACTGAGATTGTGACCTCCAATGAGGCTTCTTCCCATGATATCACCATCACTGAGGTGGATGAGCCTGAGATGTCACCATATCCCCTCACCTGCTTCTTCACTAAGACTGATGAATTCCAACAGAAACAACATCCTTTCACAGCTGTTTACTGTGAATACCCTCTCAAATTCATTCAGCTCTCTTTGTCTCAAAGAACACAGAATTTCAACATCCTTCCTCATTTATTCTCACAACAGCCTCACTGCGCAGCAGGGTTACACAGTCTGCAGGTGTGGAAACTGAGACAAAGTCACCATCTAGAGCCAATCAAACTTCTAGTCCTGTCCTTGCCTCCTTAAACTATGTCTGTACCTCTTTTTATAGTACTTTATTTATACCATATCTTGAGTTTTCCTAAATTTATGTAAAACAGAGAATAGTACCTATTTAATAAAACTGTTACGAAGATTCAATTAGCTAATACATATAAAAATAAGAACAGTGCCTATCACATTGAAAGTACACCATAAATATTAGCTATTTTTATTTTCACTCAAAATTGTCAATATGTCCAAGGACTTTCCAGTCCAAAGCTTCTGACTGCTTTTTTCAATGGAGATGTGTCATAACTCCTAAGCCAATGAGGTCCAAAATGTATTTAACTCGCTCTCCAAACCTGCTCCTTCTTCTGGCTTCACCAGAAATATTGCCATGTTGCAAATCTGACTTTGATTCTTCAACTTTCCCTGCCTCCAATATCAAATCCATTGCTAAGTCTGATCAATTCTAGATATACTTGTTCTTTCCTCTCTGAAAGCACAGTCTCTGTAAACACCAATTACACTGGGATCATTAACATCTTTCTCAATAATTTTAAGAACCACTGAGACCAGTCTCCCTGCTTTTCTTTTTGTTTCTTCAATCCACTCTTCACACAGCTGCTAGAGTGATCTCCCTAAACGACAATTCTTATTTTACTCTGCTATTAAATTAGCAACCAAACTCTCATTCAGCCTTAATAGCAGAATAAAGCCTAAACTTCTTAACGGGTATGGAAAGGCTTCTGGACCCAAACTATCTTCCCATCCTTCTCACCCACAACATTTCAAAAAGGGACTATTTACCGTTCTCTCAGAACACTGAACTCCTGTTTGGCTCCCTGCATTTTCCCATCTCCTTACTTTTGCTCAGACCCTACCCTCACTCGGAGGGGTCTTCTCTCCATCTCTGCCTATAAGTGCCATTCTTCAAATGCCATTTAGCCACATCTTACATTATGCCCAAAAAGTGCTTTCTCTATTCCCTTTATAGCTTCAGAGAATTTTATAGCTGGGATCACCTCATCTTACAAATAACCATGTCTGCAAATGCTAAAATCAAGTAATCAAGGTGACCGGCAGGTAGGCCTAAAATTTAGATCCAACTTCAAATCTTTTCCTAAACCATATCTGCCCCCTTTCATAGTATTTAATCACACTTTGTCTTGTATTTTAGTTATTTAAGTAATTATCTGTATGTTCATTCAATTGTGTGAAGCCTAAAGGCAAATGTATTTCAGATATACCAGTTGTATGAAGTAGAATCTCAAGACGTTTGTTGAACCTAATAAAAACTGCAACAAGAAATTCAGCAACTCAAGATTAACCCAGCTACATGGGGGGTGGGGGGGAACAGAAGACTGGTGGCCACAGGGCAGCTCCCCTCTGCCACCTCAGAGTAAATGTCACTTTAATATAAGTCCCTGAACATAGCTAATAATTTCTTCCTCTGAGGAAAATAACAGTTGCCACTCTCACAGGCATCTAAGTTTAAACGAAGCATTGCAGGTAAAACACTTAACATATGGCCGGGCGCGGTGGCTCATGCCTGTAATCCCAGCACTTTGGGAGGCCAAGGCGGGCAGATCACTAAGTCAGAAGATTGAAACTATCCTGGCTAAAACGGTGAAACCCCGTCTCTACTGAAAATACAAAAAATTAGCCGGGTGTGGTGGCGGGCGCCTGTAATCGCAGTTACTCGGGAGGCTGAGCGCAGAAGCGCTTGAACCCGGAAGGCAGAGGTTGCAATGAGCCAAGATCGTGCCACTGCACTCCAGCCTGGGCGACAGAGCGAGACTCTGTCTCGAAAACAACAACAACAAACAAAGAAAACACTTAACATAGTATATTAGTGCTGGCACATCATTTCTAGTCTTGGTCTTCCTCTCCTTTAATATAGCCTGTTCTACTACTCAGCCCTGCCATGGCACTCCTGTGCTTTAAAACCTTCCACCTCTTCCCACCATCTCCCTTACGGGATCAAGTCCAAATTGTTTGGTCTGGCCTTGTGGAAGCTGCTTCCAAGTCCTATCTCAGCCCAAGTTGCCTCTCCAGACTCAGCACCTGCTGCTTCCCACCACCACCACTAGGGTCACATCAAACCGTACTTGGCTTCCTAAACACAGATTCTGCTAGGCCTTCTCATTCTTTTGAGTTTTCACCCATAATACAGTGGAAAAGCATTGGTTTTAAAATCAGACCTGGGTTCACTTCCAGCTCTATTACTTACAAGCTCCATGACCTTAGGCAAATCATTTCTACTCTCGGGGCCTAGTTCCTTATTTATAACATGTTACGACCCATTGTGTATATATATATCCTACCTTACAGTGTTGCTGGGAAGATTCAATGAATTAATGCACGGAAAGTAATTAGCATCCTGCTTGGCATCTAGAAAGGACTTGATCATGTTAGCTATAATTAGTAGGGTATGTTTCTATTTCACTTCTCACAGCACTAACATTGTACTGTGATGGCCTCTTTATGTGTCTGTCTCCCTACTGGATTGAAAGTCCATGAAAGCAGGAAGTATACCTCTTCCAGCATTGTGTGTACATGTTAATTACTCAAATGATATCTCCTGAACAAACGAATGCTTTAAGTGAGTCCTGTTACCAAACACCTTCCCATGGCTGCGAGTAGATGCACGCTCCAATATCGTCTCGTTTTCCCGCGGCCTTCTCGCCCCACTCTATGCACTCTGCACCGGTGATACCACTTTAAGGTAGTGACTGTCTCCCTCGACTGTGAGCCCCTAGGGTTCACACTGAGCCCCTATACTCACTTCGCATGCAAATTTGAGGATTAAGCGACATAAGCTAAGTAAAATGACTGGTTGGTGCTTAATAAAATGTATCACTATTATTCACGGAAGGAGAAGCAGGTCGCCGTGGAAGGCGAAAGGGGGAGGATTCTAGAGTCATTGCGGGATGCAACAGGGTGGGGTAGAGAGGGGAGGCGACTCCCGAAGCTGCGGAGGTGACCTCCGGGGGTCGACCTGTATAGGTGTTGGAGGACTGGGGAGGGGGGCCCGGGGCCCAGGATCCGCGGAGCCTAAGTGGGGCTGGGCCCAGGCCCGAGAAGCCGCAGCCCCATGTCTCCCTTGCCTGTCCTCCGGACAGCCTCACCTCGTCTACTTTCAGCTCCTCTAGAGTGGGCAGCTCCACTATCCCCGGCATGACGGCTGCAGCCCCGACCCCGACGAGGAGCCCTCAGCCGCTTCTCCCCGGTCTCCTTGAACTCCCCTTTCGACCGCTGAGTGCCACACGGCGCCTGCGCATGCGCATCCGGTAACACGCAGGCGCACTGCTCTGCCCACCCGCGAGCGAGGGAGCGTGCGCAATACCAAGAAGCTTGCCGCCTCCAGGGGGCGGGGCTTCGATTCGGCTCCGCCCACCCCTCCAGGTTGTCATAGTGATGCCGTCTCCACTGAGACTCCGGATCCTAACAGCTGGAAGCTAAAAACAGGCTCCATGGAGTACACAGGGAGCAAATATATCGGGGAATATGTAGATGGGAGGTAAGGGGCTCATTTGATTCACTTACTATACCTTGAATAGCTGTGACTGGAAAAAGACAGCTGTCTTTTTGCTTCTGCGAAACACCTTGTGCCAGGCACTTTCACAAACTTGCCAGAGTAATTTTCTCAAGGACCATATCTAATAAGCAGCAAAGCTGAGATGCATTCATTCCATATATACTTATATGTGTGTGTGCATTCACTGTGTGTGCGTGTGTGCGTGTTTGCTATCTGCCAGTTTTAGACATAGGAATAAGAATATTTAAAATGTCAAGATCCTTGCTCTTATGGAGTTTATAATCCAGTTGGAGATGTATTGCCAATAAACAAATAAGTGATAAAATAATTACAGATAGTGGTAAATGCTATGAAAGCAAACACGAAGATTGGGGAAGAGAGACTGTGGCTAATCTGAATCGAGACGGTCGCTTCCCTCCAGGAGTTCACAATCTAGAGATTATTATAGAGGATTATATACACAAATCACTGTAGTGGACTAGTAGTAAAAAACAATTCAACAGTTTTTTTTCCTTCCTTTCCTTCCTTCCTTCCTTCCTTCCTTCCTTCCTTCCTTCCTTCCCTCCTTCCTTCCTTCCCTCCCTCCCTCCTTCCCTCCTTCCCTCCCTCCCTCCTTCCTTTCTCCATTCCCTCCCTCCCTCCCTCCTTCCTTTCTCTCTCTCTCTCTTTCTCCCCCTCCTCTCGTTTTTGTGGGGTTTTTTTGTTTGTTTGTTTGTTTGTTTTCAGACAAGATCTCGCTCTGTTGCCCTGGCTGGAGTGCAGTGGCCTGTTCACTGCTTACTGCAGCCTCGACCCCCTAGACTCAAACAATCTTCCCGCCTCAGCCTCCCAAGTAGCTGGGACTGTGGGTGTGCACCACTACCCCAGCTAATTTTTCAATGCCTTTTGTAGAGATGGCGTCTTGCTATGTTGTCCAAGCTGGTCTCGTACTCCTGGGCTCAAGTAATCCTCTTGCATGAGCCACTGTGCCCAGCAATTTAACAATGTTGAGTGGCTACCAAGTACCAGACCCTGGAATTGACTCTGGGCACAATCCCTGTCCTCAGAAAGTTCATTCAAACATGATGGGACCAGTAGACATAACTGATAACTGTGATTCAGTGTGGTAAGAGCTGTGGTAGAGAGAAGCAGAGGAAACACAGAGGTGGCCACTCTTTCTTGCCAGCCACCCTGGATGAAGAAAGTGGAATCTCTGTTTTTATAGCTGAGGAAACCAAGGCTGAACGATATGAAGTGGTTTGCCAAACCAGTGCTAGTTGTGGGGACTGTGAAACACTCCCACCTTGGGGCCCCGTATTCACAAGTTGGTGGAATTCCAGGCCATTTTGGATTAATAAGAAAGAGGGATCTGCGGTCTGGGCAGGGATAGGAGATAGATTCCTAACGAAGGTGGTAGGAGTGCTATGGGATGCTATCTCTAATCCTTACATCAGTCTTTCAAGGAAGATGTTATTATCTTTCCAGGTAAGAAAGGTGACCTTTACAGGGCTTGAGACACTTATCCTACTCAGCAGGTAAGTGGCAGAGATGCCTTGGTGTGTACCCTCTCTCACTACTCAGTGAGATAGTTCAGGCTGACCTTGCAAATAAAGGAACAGAAGTTAAGAGAAGCAAAATGACTTGCCCACCATTATGGATACACAGGTAGGAAGTAATGGAGTCAGGATTTGAACCCAATCCTCTGTACAAACCACATTCTTACTTTTCACAAGGCCCTGTTACAGTGAAGGTGGTAGAATTTTGGCAGATAGAGATGCGGTATTGGGCATTTTAGGCACAACAAGTTGAGAAACTCCATTAATTTTCAATGGGCTGTGTATGTGCGAGAGAGAAACACACAGACAAGGCAAAAGAAGGAAGGCTTTCAACCATTTGCCTTTGGCCTTCTGTGCATTTTCATTGGGTATGTCGAGTCAGCCATTTCCATGCTTTTGTCCCTAGGAATTTGGGTTTTGCTTGAGGTTGTTTGGTACCTCTGTAACCACGAAAGGGATTTCCAGACCTGAACAGGGCTTCCCAACTTCCCATAACTAGCAAGAAGTCAGCAGTTTTTCGCTTGTTATACTTCTTTTCATAAGTGGAACATGTGTTGTTCTGTACTGATTTTGTATTTTTAACAACAGTTAACTAGAGTTCTATTTGGGGCATCTCAAATTTCAGCATGTAACGAGAGAGACAACATAGTAGAGGTAAAAAGGTTTCAGCATCAGACAGATCTGGGCTCAAGTCTGCCACTTGCTTGTTGTACACTTAATTAACCATCCATACCTCAGTTTCCTCATCTGTAAAATGGGAAAGCAATGCGCATTCAGCAGTAGTATTCCAAAGAATAAGTAATGATCATATATGGATGTTATTTACATATGGTAGGTACTCAATAGCTTTTTTTTAATTTAGGGAGGGGATATTTTCCTCTTGGCGTTTAAATGAATATAGTAACTTCTCTATATAGTAGGAAGTTGATATTTAACGTTTAGTTTAAAAAGTTTATGTAGACTCTCCACGGCTGATAGGAACATCAAATGGTACGACTGCTTTGGAAAAGTTTGGCAGTTTCTTAAAAAGTTAAACAGCCATTCCACTCATAAGTATTTACCCCAGAAATGAAGGTGTATATCTATACAAAGACATGTATACAAGTACTCATAGCAGCCTTATTTATAACAACCAAAACTAGAAACAAACCCAAATGTCATCAACAGAGGAATGAAGAGACTAACTGTGATATATCCATTCATTGGAATACTACTCAGCAGTAAAAAAGAGTGAACTACAGGTACACAGAACAACATGAATGAATCTCAAAAAATTACGTTAAGTGAGAGAAGCCAGACAGAAAAAGAGTAGATACTGTATGATTCCATTTATGTAAAATTCTAGAAAATGCAAATCTATGGTGATAGAAGGTAGATCAGTAGTCACCTAGAGATGAGGATTGTGGGCAGGGGCAAAGAGGAAGTGTTACGGAAAGAAACTTTTGTGGGGAATAGATATGTTGTCTTGATTGTGATGATGGTTTCCCAGGTGATGTCAAAACATATCAAATTGTACACTTTAAATATGTGGCTTATTGTATGTCAATTACACTTTAATAAATCTACTTTTAAAAAATCTTAAAAGAGACATGATTTCCCTGTACCATGTGTGAATATTTAAAAAATAAAAAGTTAATGTAGGATCTGTCTGACCTCAATATTATGGTTTCTTTGGAGTAGTTGCACAATTGAGTTCTAGATAACTCCACTCCAAAGCACTACAAGGTAAGTGCCAGAAGACACCTACAGACACAGGGGAGGAAGGGATGCCCATAGCATTTATGTAGCAACTACTGTGCTCTGGGTGGCTTTGCCTGCATTTTCTCTTCACAGGGACTCTTTGAGATAGATATCATTATCCTATTTTACAGATGGGAAAAGTAAGGCTGGGAGTAATTACATAACTTGCCCAAAGTCACCCAGTTAGCACTTGGCAAAGCAGGTATTAAAACCCAGGTCTATCAGACTCTAAAGCCCATGTGCCTTCTTTTTTTTTTTTTTTTTTTTTTTTTTTTTTGAGACAGAGTCTTGCACTGTTGCTCAGGCTGGACTGCAGTGGCTGGATCTCAGCTCACTGCAAGCTCGGCCTCCTGGGTTTACACCATTCTCCTGCCTCAGCCTCCCGAGTAGCTGGGACTACAGGTGCCCGCCACCTCGCCCGGCTAGTTTTTTGTATTTTTTAGTAGAGACGGGGTTTCACCGTGTTAGCCAGGATGGTCTCGATCTCCTGACCTCGTGATCCGCCTGTCTCGGCCTCCCAAAGTGCTGGGATTACAGGCTTGAGCCACCGCGCCCGGCCTGCCCATGTGCTTTCTACAATAGAGCTCTGCTGCTGGGGCCCTTCAGAGGACACATACAGTTGGAGCCATCCTTAAAGGCTTCATGGAAGAGATGATATTTGAAATGGGCCTTGAAGTTTGGGTAGGATTTAGGTGGTTGGGGATGCAAGGTGAAGAATGTTTCTAGGCAGAGGGAACAGCATGAGCAATAGCCAGAGGGCACGTATGGAGTAGAGCTGGCAGTTCAGTTTAGCAGGAGAATGGGTTGTGCTCAGAGGAGTTATGCGAGGGGAAGCTGGACAGGCGGTCTGTGCTCTGGCAAAGAAATTTCAATACTGTGCACAATTCTGGTGGCGGAGGAACCACTGATAGATCCTGGTAGGGCCAAGCATCAGGAAATAAAACTTATTTCACCTCTGTATCTCTCCTCATAATGCATATGTGTGGTAGGGACTCAGTAAATGTTGGCAGAATGAATGAAGAAGATGATAGCTTTTGGGTTTTTTTTTTTTTTTTTTTTGAGACAGGGTCTCACTCTGGAGTGCTCTGGCTGGAGTGCAGTGGTGCAGTCTTGGCTCACTGCAACGTCCACCCCACCGGACTCAAGCAGTCCTCCCACCTCAGCCTCCCCAGTAGCTGGGACCACAGATATGCGCCACCATGCCCAAGCTAATTGATAGGTATTTGAGATCTGGTAATCATATCCTTATTATGATTTGAAGTCTTCACTATAAAGTGGTTTTTTTTTCTTCTTTTTAACTTACTTTGAATTTAGAAGGCAGGCTTTTCACCTTGAATGAATTTTTTTAAATGGAAGAGAAGGATGGAGAAAGGAAGGGAAAGAGAGAGAGAGGGAAGGAGAAAAAGGAGGAGGAGGAGAAGGAGAGAGAGGGAGAGGGAGGAGGGAAGCAGGAAAAGTGAAGATGGGAAGATCAGCTCAGAGCTCACTGCAGTTGTCCCAGTAAGAGGCGGCAGAGCCCTGGGCCAAGGCAGAAGCAGTGAAGCTGCAGGAAAGAGATAAATGTAGGAGAGGTTTGGGGATTTTACTGCCAGGAGTTGGCAGTTGATTGGCTCCAGTCCTGTCCAGAGATGGCTTACAGCCCCAGCCCAGGGCCCAGCTCCTGGCCTTGAACCAGAGGATTCTGATACCATTCATGGAAACGGAGAACTCTAAGAAGGTGCTGCTTAGGGGAGGAGGAGATGAGTTCTGTTTTAGGCGAGTTGGAGATGTCTGTGAGAGGTCTGAACAGTGATGTCCAGTTCGAGGTAAGAAAAGGGGTGGGGTCTAACCTCAGAGAATGGTGTAGAACTTGCATACGGAGATGGTGCTTAGAAATGACAGATGTGAGCTCAAGCAACGCATAGAGGAGGGAAGGAGAAGAGGAGTTCTCCCTTCCCCCCATGTCTTGCACTAGAATAAAAGTGAAATAGTTTTCAAGTTCCTGCTCTATGCTGGGCATTCTGCTGTAGTTTCACATCCATCATCTCACTCAGTTATCTCAACAACTTTGTCATCCACTCTGTTCACTCACTGCTCTTTCTGTTTCCTTCATTCTTTACTCAGGAGAGGTTTATGAAGCACCTGCTTAGTGGTTCTAGGAGTTGAGGATACCAAGGTCTTCCTTTAAAGAAGCTTTAAATACAGGAGATAAGATATCTAATTACAAAACAAGATAGAAAGTGTTACGCATCCCAACAGAGGTACTAGCAAAAGCCTAAGGAAGGTCAGAGTTAGGAGAGGAGCCTTTAGCTTGTTGGGAGGAATGGAGAAGGAAGGAATGAAAGCATATTTATTAAGTACTCACTACATGTCAGGCCCTTTGCTAGGAAAACTATTATATGTTATCTGGATTAATTGCAGCCATTTCACCCATAAAGAACTGGACAGCCCAGTGCAATGGCTCACACCTGTAATCCCAACATTTTGGGAGGCTGAGGCAGGAGGATCACTTGAGCTCAGGAGTTCTAGATCAGCCTGGGCAACATAGGGAAACCCCATCTCTCCAAAAAAAAGAAAAAAAAATTAAATCAGCTGGGCATGGTGGGGCAGCCTGTGGTCCCAACTACTTGGGAGGCTGAGGTGGGAGGATCACTTGAGTTCAGGAGATTGAGGCTGCATTGAGCCATGATCACACCACCGTACTCCAGCCTGGGAGATAGAATGAGAACTGGTCTTGGAAAAAAACAAAAAACAAAACAAAGAAGCTAGTCAACTGGTCAAGTTGGTGTCACTGCCTTGTTCTCCTGTATGAGCCTGTCTTCCTCCAGCACAGCACTTATCACACATTGCATAACTGCTCAATTGTGTCCCCCACTAGACTGTGAGCCCCACAAGGACAGGGACTGCATTTGCCTTGATCACTGGTGAATCTGTGTTGTATTCAGCAGGTTGGACCATCAGCATAGTCCCTGATAAAATGTAGGTGCTCTGTAAATATCTGTTTGGAAGGAAAGAAGGAAGGGAGGGAAGGGAGGGAAGCACAAGCAAAGAGGTTTGGGAAAGTATCTGTATTAGTCTGTTCTCATGCTGCTGCAAGGACATAACCCAAGACTGGGTAATCTATAAAGGAAAGAGGCTTAATGGACTCACAGTTCCACATGGCTGGGAAGGCCTCACCATCATGATGGAGGCAAAGGGGGAACAAAGGTACATCTTACATGGCAGCAGGCAAGAGAGCATGTTCAGGGGAATTGCCCTTTATAAAACCATCAGATCTCATGAGATTTGTTCACTTTCACGAAACAGCATGGGAAAAACCCACCCCCATGATTCAGTTACCTCCCACTGGGTCCCTCCCAGGACATGTGGGGATTATGGGAGCTACAATTCCAGATGAGATTTGGGCGGGGACACAGCCAAACAATATCAGTATCCAAGATTATATATCTATATATAAAAAATGGTGGTAAGATTCAGGAAGCAGTGTGAACTCCAAGGTGAGAGTGAGCCTCTAGGTGAAGGGGAGAATGAACAGAGCAAACTGTATTCCCCTCTTTTCATTTTTGAGCTTTTGGGGGAAACAAAATAAAAATTTTGTTTTCAGCAGAGTACTGCTGGGATGGGAAGGATGAGAATGCTGAGAATGGGGTTCCTGCTCACTCTGTCGCCTGCCAGCTCTGACCCTCCAGCTGTCACATGGGGCTCAGTGATTTCCCTGTGTCTTTACAGGATGGAGGGCAAAGCCAAGTACATCCTCCCTACTGAAACAATATATGTTGGGGAAATGAAGGACGGTGTGTTTCATGGCGAAGGAACTCTGTACTTCCCCAGCGGGAGCCAATACGACGCTGTTTGGGAAAATGGATTGGCCATAAAGGTGATCAGCCGGGGGGGCGGGTTCTGTGGAGGAGAGATCCTCGGGCAAGAAGAGCCTCACCCTGTGGCGCCCCATCTACCCTGTCTGGTGCCTACCTCCTTCCATTCCCTCTTCTCTTTGTTTCTCCTCCTCTCCCCCGACTTTTTATTTTTATTTATTTATTTATTTATTTATTTATTTATTTATTTATTTATTTATTTTTGAGATGGAGTCTCACTCTGTCACCAGGCTGGTGTGCAGTGGCACAATGCTCACTGCAACCTCTGCCTCCCGAGTTCAAGTGATTCTCCTGCCTCAGCCTCTCAAGTAGCTGGGACTACATGTGTGCGCCACCATGCCCAGCTAATTTTTGTATTTTTAGTAGAGACAGGGTTTCACCATGTTTGCCAGGATGGTCTCAATCTCTTGACCTTGTGATCCACCTGCTTCAGCCTCCCAAAGTGCTGGGATTACAGGTGCGAGCCACTGCACCCACCTGGCATTTTTTTTTTTTTTAAACGAGTCTCACTCTGTTGCCCAGGCTGCAGTGCAGTGGTGTAATCTCAGCTCACCACAATCTCTGCCTCCTGGGTTCAAGCTATTCTCTTGCCTAGGCCTCCTGAGTAGCTAGGATTACAGGTGTGTGCCAGCATGCCCGGCTAATTTCTCCCTGCTTCTGGATCTCCCAGTGCCCTAGAATCCTCTCCTTCTAGATCTGGAAGGATTTGTGGAGAGGCTATGATGAATTTGCATCTGCTACGCCACTTACTGCCTGATCTTGGGCCCATGACTTCACCTCCCTGAGAGTTCTTCACCTATCAACTCGGGACAGTAGTTGCATTAGTTATCTATTGGTACTATAACAGGTTACCACAAATTTAGTCTGAAATCAGCACAAATGTATTATCTTACAGTTCTGGAGCTCAGAAGTCTGAAATAGGTCAGCAAGCCTGCATTCTGTCCAGAGGCTCTGTGGGAAAACCTGTTTCTTTGCCTTTTCCAGCTTCTAGAGGCTGCCTGCATTCCTTGGCTCGTGGCCACGCGTCACTCCAACCTCTGCTTTCATCATCACATCACCCTTCATCCCTTTGCTTTCATCATCTCGTCTTCTCTCACCCTGGCCTTACTATTTCCCTCTCATAGGAACCTTGCAATTATATTTGGCATACCCAGATAATCCAAATAATCTTCCCACTTCAGGATCCTTCATTTAATTGCATCTGCAAAATATCTCTTGCCATGTAAGGTAGCATATTCACAGGTTGCAGCAGAGAGGGACATCTTTGGGGGACCATTATTCAGCCTACCATAATAGTACAAGGCACCTCCTAGGATGATCATAAGAGTAAATGAGGCAATATATATATATATGAACACTTTGCTAAGTTCCCAGCATACAGGAGGCACTCAATAAGTGTTAGCTCTTACTACCACCATCACTGCTACTATCATTATAACCTACCTAATCCAAGGATTCTTACCCTGGTATTTGTGGGTCATGAATAGAATTCAGGGAGTCACTGAAACCTCTTGATTTATATACAGAAGTTTCTGTGTAAAGGGGACTAAGTTTTTCTCCAGGAAAAGCATCTATAGCTTTCATCAGTTTCACTAAGAGCATGTTGGGGCCTGACTCATGACCTAAAAAACGTTAAGATTTCTTAACCTTGTTTTATAGCTTGGAGAATCTAAGCCCCAGGAAGGGGATGTGACTTACCCGAGGTCACACAGTGAATTAATAGTATCATTGGAATTTCCACCCGTGTTTCCTGATGCCCAGGCCAATGCAATTTCTACATCCTGAGGCTTCCTTTAGCAGTAAGGCAGCAAAGGCAGAACATATGTGTTTGGACAAAGGGCCATGGCTGATGGCTCTGACCTTTCCAGCTATAATAATAATAAAAGAATAATAACATTTATTGAGTGCTTACTTTGTGTCAGTGTGTCAGTCAGGGTTCTTCAGAGACACAAAACCAATAGGATATACAGAGATGTATGGAAAGAGATTTACATTAGGGATTGGCTCACAAGATTATGGAGGCTAAGAAGTCTCCCAATCTTCCCTCTGCAACCTGGAGGCCCAGGAAAGCTGTTAGTGTAGTTCCAGTCCAAACCCAAGGGCCTCAACCAGGGGAGTCAATGGTGTAAGTCCCAGTCAGAGTTCAAAGGCCCGAGAACCGGGAATGCTGATGTCCAAGGGCAAAGAAGATGGATGTCCCAGCACAAGCAGAGAGAGCGAACTGATGCTCCTCTGCCTTTTTGTTCTATCCAGGCCCTCAACGGATTGTATCATGCCCACCCACTTTGGTGAGGGTAGAACTTCCTTTGCTCAGTCCACCGATTAAAATGTGAACTGCTTCTAGAAACGCCCTCATGGACACACCCAGAAATGTTTTACCAGCTATCTAGGCATCCCTTTCCCTTAACCTAGTCAAGTTGTCTCACCAACTCAACCATCACAGCCAGGCACTGTGCTAAATGCTTCACGTATGCTATCTCATTGAATTTTCAATCAACCCTATTTCATGTATACCATCATTAACTTAATTTTACAAATGAAGAAATGAAGGGCCAGAGAGAGTGGGTCATCTGCCCAAGTTCATCTGCCCAAGTTCATCTGCCAAAGTGAGTTCACCTACTTTGAGTGGCAGGGACAGCGCTCAGCACTTATACCCATTCCCTCTCATCATCACAACCATAATAATTGTGATCGTTACCACTTCTTTACTGTAGCCATCAGAAAGCCCCCCACTTCCCTTGACATCTGAACCTCTTGGCCAAAAGCCTTCAGCTTCCTCAGATGCACATGTGCGCTCCTTGTCTTCCAGGGCACATACACCTTTGCAGACGGGCTGCACTATGATGAGAAGAACTGGCATTACTGCGACGGCTATGATCGGAGGTTTTACACAGAGATCCTCAATGGCCTGAAGCCTGCAGGTACTCAGGCACCCACCCTTTCCTTGATACCCCAAACTGAGAGGCAAACTAAGACGGTTTCAGATAAGTGCACTGTGGCCTAATGAAGTAACTTAAAGGGGAAGAGGAACTGAGCAGCTGCAGAAGAATACAAAAGAGCCAGGTCCTGGAGCCAGGAAGGCCAGTCCTCATATCTCAACTCCACTATGCTAGTCAGAGGACCATGGGCAAGGGGCTTTACCCACTGTGCCTCAGTTTCTTCCCTTCAAAATGGAGTCAATCGGCTGGGCGCAGCGGCTCATGCCTGTAATTCCAGCACTTTGGGAGGCCAAGGCGGGTGGATCACTTGAGATCAGGACTTCCAGACCATCCTGGCCAACATGGTGAATCCCCGTCTCTACTAAAAATACAAAAATTAGCCGGGTGTGGTGGTGTGCCTGTAATCCCAGCTACTCCGGAGGCTGAGGCATGAGAATCGTTTGAACTCAGGAGGTGGAGGTTGTAGTGAGCTGAGATCACGCCACTGCACTCTAGCCTGGGTGACAGAGTGAGACTGTGGTCTCAGGAGGAAAAAAAAAAAAAAAAAAAAAAAAAATGGGATCAATAGCATAATCTACCTCCCAAGATTGTTGTAAATAAGATAATTCATGTCAGGTGTTTAGAACAGTGCCTTGAATGCATATGGGTGCACGGTACATGTCAGCTGTTCTTATTTGTAGTACCTCCTATAACACTAAAATTCTGTAAATATTTTAAAAAGAAAGAGTTAAGGGCAAAAGCAGTACTGACAGAGCATGTGCTTTGTGTATCAGGTGCTGAGGGAGGCTGTCTCCCTAATGTCTAGATGATCCTGCCCAGTCAACCTTCCTAGTCCCATGTCACTCCAAGTTGAGGCTGTGGAGTTCAGACATGGTTCCCTGTGGCAGAGCTCACACTGGAGGCCCAGACTTCCTCTCTGAGGTCCTCTGTATCATGCTCCCTCCCTGCCAAAACCGTGTTTCATCACGGACGGCTACATTTGGACTACAAGTCTGGATTCAGAGAATGGCACCTTAAAAGGCTCATCTGAGTGTTTTTGAGATGTGTTCCAGGTCAGATGAGCCTCAAGACGGGGGTAGGGGAGGGATAGCATTAGGAGAAATACCTAATGTCGATGATGAGTTGATGGGTGTAGCAAACCACCATGGCACGTGTATACCTATGTAACAAACCTGCACATTCTGCACATGTACCCCAGAACTTAAAGTATAATAAAAAATAAATAAATAATTAAAAAATTTAAAAAAGAAGAGTGTAGTTTTTGGCACAGCAGAGATAATATATCCAAAATGACAGATGGGGAAACAACTCTGTATACTATAAAAGCAATCCCAACTTAGGTTATGAGAGACCATGAGCTGTGGTTGATAGAGCATGGAGCCAGAAATTGTGGGTTTGAGTCCTAGCATTTCCTGTCTATAGCTACATGAGACTGCACAAGTCAACCTCCATCAGGGCAGAAGCCTTCAGGAAGCACCCAGGCCCTGGAATCAGGCCGACCTGAGCTCAAACCCCCATCTCCTTCCCTTCCCAGCTTCATGACCTTGGATCAGTTAGTTGACCAGGTGAGCCGCCTTCTCTCCCTTTGCCCTCCTGACACTTACTCTGCTATTTTCCTCCGATCCCCAGGCTTCTTTGCCAGTGCCTCCTCAACTTCACCCCACCCCCAGTTATTCATGCTGAGGTTCCCGGGGCTCTCTGGCTTAGGCACTTTCTGTTATCATTCTATATGCTTTTCCTGAACAAGTTGATATACTTCTAAGCCTTCAACTACCATCAGCTTCTAAATTGAAATCAGAATCCCTGAGCCTAAGATCCCTGCATCAAGCTTGACTGACACCTATCTTGGTCATTCCCCAAATTGTCTGCACTGAATTCATTGTCACCCCCACTGTGATGGCTGCCTCACTGAATGTCATGCCCATCCACCTAGGTAAGCCTAATCCTCCCTTCCCCTGCCCCCTAAGTGCAATAGTCTTATGGATTTTACCTCTGAAATATATTCTTTCATTTGTTTAGTCGACAAATATTTACTGAGTATTTCCATGTGCCAGGCAGCATTTTCTTCATCCTCTTTGCCACTGCCCTGTTCCAGCCCTCCATCATCTCTCCCCTTGATGACCTGACTTCCAGAGATCCCCACTTGGCCATTCTTGAGGTCATTCTCCTTTCTGCAGCAGTCACTTCCATCTTTTTTTTTTTTTTTTGAGACAGAGTCTTGCTCTGTTGCCCATGCTGGAGTGCAGTGGTGTGATCATAACTCACTGTAACTTTGAACTCCTGGGCTCAGGCGATCCTCCTGCCAAGTGATCTGGTCTCCTAAGTAGCTGGGACTACAGGCATGCGCCACCACTGCTGGTTAATTTTTTTTTTTTAAGTTTCTTGTAGAGATGGGTCTTGCCATGTTGCCCAGGCTCATCTAGAACTCCTGGCCTCAAGCTACCCTCCCTCCTTAACTTGGGATCACAGGCGTGAGCCACCATGCCCAGCCACTTACATCTTTTAAAGTGTGAATCTGATTGCCCCCATCCCCCAACCCTTGAGTGCTCCCTATACCCTCAAGATAAGGTTTCAAATTCTCAGAAACAGTGACATTCTCTGGCTACTGCTCATGTCCCAGCCCCTTCCTGGGCTACCCACTCTTCTCGGTTTTTCTCTCTCCCTTCTTGCCATACTTGCTTTCTCTCTATTTCTCAAGGAGACCACACTTTTCCACCATTCTCTCTGCCTGGAATACTTCAACCCTCTTACTTCACCCAAATAACTCCTTCCCGTCCTTCACGTCTCAGCTCAATGGCCTGAAGCTGGGACCCCCTTCCCTGAATTCCCACACTAGGTAAGGTCTCCCTGTGGCATATCACAGAGCAGCCATGATCTCCCCCCAGGGCTTGGATCTTGAGTGTTCAGCTCCTCTTCCCAAGCTGTCAGCAACATGAGGGCAGGGCCCTAGCACATTGTCTGGCATACAGTGGGTACTCGTTAAAGAGTTATTGTCAAACAGGGATAATGATATCGACATCACAGTGCAGGGTGAAGTATGTGCTTAGGGGAGTTAAGGCAATGACATTAAGAAACATTTCCTAAGCTCCTACTGTATGTCAGACACTGGCTGGCCCCAGGGAGACCAGAGCTGAGAGGACATCGTCTCTCCCTTCAAAGAGCTGCCAGTCTAGCTGCAGTTTGAGAACCTTGCAAATCACTCATCCCCGATTACTTATGATGGGGGGCCTGGACTTTGCCATGGGCTCTTTACCCCAATTAAGGCTGTAGGCAAAAAGCCCTCAGCCTTAGGCCTCAGCTCTCACACAGTGGCTGGTTTTGCTAAAGCTGAGCCTCTGCCAGTCTCATGGTGGTTTTTCCCAAACCGGCCTGGCTCTTCCCTTCTTCTCCAGTGACCCTCAGCAGAGAAGCTTGATTCTAAGTAGCTACTTCCTTCCCTTGTCGCTCCACACTTTGCCTCTTGGGGCTGGCATTGTTAGGGTAACTCGCCCTGCCTGCAAGGCAGGGTGAGGGTTAAAAGTGCCCCACAACCTCTTCAAGCATCTGTGAAGTAGGCATTGGCATGACGCTTCAGTGAGAGAATGGCTGTAAAGTGCCTGACGTGGAGTAAGTACTCGGCAATCATTAGCCAGTACACACGGGGTTAGGGTTAGGGTCAGGGTCAATGTCAGGGTTAGTATTAGGTATGTCATTAAGCAACACAAGAGTGCCTACTGTGTGCAAGACACTGATTTGTGGAAATGGTGCTGTGTGCTCAGTGGGCATCCAGCTCTCAGTCTAGAGAACAAGGAATTATAGGAACTATAGTTAGAAGGAACCTGAGAAGTTATTTATTCCAACCTCTCCCTTTACTTGAGCAATGGCTTTTCAAGATACACACACATAGGGTGCGTGACCTAAAAGGTGCACTCCATCTTCTTTCCCTCCCAGAGGTCTCAGTGTCCCTGGTCCTGTGGCTGCACCTAGGCTCCCTCCTCCCCTGATGTTGGCAGCTGAACATACAGGTTCCAGAGTTAGACTGCTTCCTAGCTGGATAACCTTGGGAAAGTTACTTTAACTTCTCTGAGCCTCAGTTTTCTTATCTGTAAAACTGAGCCACAGAGTTGCTCTCAGGATTAAATAAAATAGGAGCACAATGCCTGGCACATAATAAACGTTGAATAAGTGGCAGCCACCTGGTAATTTTGGCGAAAGTCAAGGCTCTCCACCACCTGCCCCTTGTCCACCTGATCCATTTCTTTCCTGCTGTTCTCCTTCACACGTCCTCTGCTCTACAAGGTTTCGAGAGGAGGGTCTAAGGACCCATGCCTCTGGCCTCTGCCCACGCCTTGAATGCCACCCCTCTTCTAGACCTGATGCTCTCCCATCTGTTTGCCAACTCTGACTTATCCTCAGGGTCTGTCTGACTTCAGAACCTGTGCCCTTTATCATGGTATCCCAAGAAATGGAAAAGGATGGGGTCAAACGAAGAAGACAGAGGGTCTAGTTCCCAAGACCCTGTTCCCAAGAGCCATTTTCAGAAAGTTCCTTTGGGGCACTGTTTCTGCTGGGTTTGCTTCTTGCCCTGAGTAGGGGTTATTTAGTTCAACAGTGGAGCCAGATAGTCACATGAGCCACCAGCCACAAGTGGACCTTATGGGAACACTGGGTTTAGATTTGGCCTTGATGGTGAACTAATTGCCCATTATGTTCTTTCAAGGTATGGCTCAACTCACCAATATGGACCCACCTAGAAAAATACCCAAGGGCTATTACGATTGTGGAGATGGCTTCTATAACCCCGTCACGAGGGTAATCAAGGACTACAGGAACCGCTTTCTGAGAAACGCAGGTAGGTTTCTTTCGACACTGCAGCACATTTTCTCTTCATCCACATATAAGTATGTGCATCCGTATGTACAAATGTATGCACACACTTGATGAGAAAAACGCTTTTGCTGATGAAAGACAAAAATTGATTACCTGGATGTTTTATCTTGTGGACTTCTCATGGCAAATCTGTACATAGTCCTAGAGGGAGGTAAAAGGACATTCGTGGTCTAGCTGTGACGGCACATAAATGTTGCACTGAAAGGATTAAGGTACTCATTTTTGCATGCATTCCTTCGATTTTAATGGGCACCTACTATATGCTAGACACTGTGCTTGGTGTTGGGGAAAAAGCAGAGCAAAGCTGGACACAGCCCCCCTTCCTTGTGGAGCTTGCATTCTAAAGGTGGCAGCGTAGTACTAGAAACAGTTAATTGCATCATGGAACAAACACAATGAAGGGCAAAACATGGTCCTGCAGGGAAGGGAAAGTAGGGGCCCCAGAGAGGTGGGACAGATGCTGTGGGAGCACAAAGAAGGGATATCAAATCCCGAAGTGGTATAAGTCAGAGAAGGTTTCAAGGAGGAAATGACTTCTAAGCTAAGACCTGAAGAATAACTGGGATTTGACCACAAGGCTTGGGGACAGGGTTTTCCAGCGAGAGGAAATGGCACAGGCAACAACCTAGAGGGGAGTGATCCCTTGAGGTCTAAGAAGGTTGGTTCATCTTTTAGTCAGGGGAGTAGGTACCTTGGAGGATCCAGAACCTCAGTTTGGTGAGTCAACACAAGGCTGATCAGACTGAGAAGAACCCA